AAGAGACATAGGCTGGCTGAATGGATAAGAAAATACAGGCCAAGTATATGCTGTCTTCAGAAAACACATCTAACCTGCAAGAATGCATATAAACTAAAAATAAAAGGGTGGAGATCACTATTCCAAGCAAGCGGAAGCCAAAAGAAGGCTGGCATTGCAGTTTTAATTTCAGACGATTTAGTTTTTAAACCAACATAAGTAGTGAAAGACAAAGAGGGTCATTAGATAATGGTGAAGGGCACACTTCAACAAGAAGAGATAACAATTTTATATATATGTGACCCCACTTTGGTGTAACCAGGTTCATAAAGCAAACCTTACTGGAGCTAAGCAAATGGATTAAAAGCAACTCCATTATCACCAGAGATTTCAACACCCCACTGATGGCGCAAGACAGATCCTCCAAACAGAAAATTAAAAATAAATAACGGACTTAAACAAAACTCTAGAACAATTGGGTCTGACTGACAGTTACAGAACATTCTACCCAAAATCCACTGAATATACCTTGTTCTCATCAGCACACGGAACATTCTCTGAGACTGACCATATCCTAGGACACAAAGTAAACCTCAAGAAATTTTAAAGAAATAGAAATCATACCATGTATGTTCTCAGATCACAGTGGAATAAAAGTACAAATCAACCCTAACAGAAACCACATTTCTACACAAAAATGTGGAAATTAAACAACCTCATACTAAATGATTACTTCATAAATGAAGAAATCAAGATGGAAATTAAAAAATTCTATGAAGAAAATGACAATGGAGAGACAAGTTATCAAATCCTCTGGGACACAGCTACAGCAGTTCTGAGAGGAAAGTTTATCTCCATAAATGCCTATAACCAAAAGTCAAAAAGATCACAAATAGACAATCTAATGAAACGACTCAAAGAGCTGGAAAAAGAAGAACAGGCCAGCCTCAAACCCAGCAGAAGAAGTGAAATCAACAAGATCAAGTCAGAACTAAACAAAATTGAAAACAGGGAAGCTATTCAGGAGATTAATAAAACAAAAAGTTGGTTCTTTGAAAAAATAAAGAAAATTGACACATCACTGGCTAATGTAACAAAAAGCAGAAAAGAGAAATCTCTAATAAGCTCCATCTGGAACAAAGAAGGAGATATCACAACTGATCCCAAAGAGATACAAGATATAATTTA